CAGGACAGCATCGGGAACTCCTTTGGTTAGACGCCATCGCGTCACTCCTTTTCCCAGTCATTTTGGGGCTCCCTTGGTTGCGGGCCCACAACCCCCAAATTGACTGGGAGACCGGGTCTATTCAGTTCCGCACCCCATATTGTCAGGAACACTGCCACGCATCAGGCCCCGCAGCTCACCAATTTCTTCTGTGCTCAGAAGGAGACTCCAACCTAAGACAGGTCATTCCAGCGGCCTATCACGGCTATTTAAATGTTTTCAGTAAACGGGGGGCAGACGCCCTGCCTCCTCACCACCCGTATTATTGCCCCATTGACCTTTTACCCGGTTCCGAGATTCCATTCGGCCGAATTTTTCCCTTGTCTGAATTAGAATTGGGGGTTCTCAAGGAATATATCGATAAGAACCTCCAAAAAGGGTTCATCCGCCCCTCCACTTCACCAGCGGGGGCTGGAATTTTCTTTGTAGAAAAGAAAGATAAATCCCAGAGACCCTGCATTGACTATCGCGAACTAAACAGTCACGATAAAGAACCGCTATCCACTGCCCCTGGTCCCAGAACTCTTCCAGAGCCTGAAATCCGCAGCTATTTTCACAAAATTGGATTTGAGAGGTGCATATAATCTGGTTCGTATAAGGGAGGGGGACGAGTGGAAAACAGCATTCCGCACTCGATTTGGCCATTTCGAGTACCTGGTCATGCCTTTTGGACTCTGCAATGCCCCAGCCACGTTCCAACACTTTAACGACATATTCAGGGATTATCTTGACGTTTTTGTGATTGTCTATCTGGACGACATATTAATATTTTTCTCCCTCACTCGAAGCTCATAGGAATCACGTGACAAAGGTGTTGGAACGGTTACGCCAACACGGGCTGTACGCCAAAGCTTCGAGCAGCATAGTATTGCATTTTTGGGGCTGATCATTTCCACCACGGGGGTCGCGATGGACCCTCAGAAGGTCTCGGCGATTCTGGATTGGCCAGTACCCACAGATAAGAAGGACATCCAATGCTTTATTGGGTTCACTAACTTCTATAGGAAGTTTATCAAGAACTTCTCTGGTCTGGTTTCCCCCATTACTCAGTTAACCAAACAAGGGATCCGTTTCAAATGGACGCCTGAGGCCCAGGCAGCCTTTGAGTCTCTGAAAAAATTATTTACCACTGCTCCCATTCTCACTCATCCGGACTACTCTCTGCCTTATGTTCTGGAAGTAGACGCATCAGAAAATGCAGTAGGGTTCATCCTGTCCCAGAGGAAAGGCACCAAGGAACTCCTGAACCCCATGGCATTCTTCTCAAGGAAACTCTCACCGGCAGAACGAAATTACGACATTGAAGATCGAGAATTATTGACTATTAAAACTGCATTAGAAGAATGGAGATATCTGCTGGAAGGAGCCACGCATCTGATCCTGATTTTCACAGACCATAAGAATTTGGAGTATTTGAGAACAGCGAAACGCTTACGACCACGCCAAGCGAGGTGGGCGCTCTTTTTCTCCTGATTCTCCTTCCATATAACGTACAGACCTGGTTCCAAGAACACGAAGCCCGACGCTCTCTCACGCATGTTTGAGGGTCCTGAGGAAGATCCAAAACCAGATACTATCCTATCTTCAGGGAACTTCCTTGCCCTTCAAACAGAACTTCGTTCTAGACTACAAGATGCATCTATGGATATGCCAACCCTACCTGGGGTGTCCCTCCAGAGCAAGGGAGGACTCGTATGGAAGGAGGGGTTAATCGTGGTGCCAGAAGACGTCCGAACATTGGTCCTGGGACATTGCCACGATCATCCGATGGCAGGTCACTTCGGGCTGGTGAAGACTCTCGAACTGCTCCAGCGCACGTTCTGGTAGCCAAGCATGACCAAGGACTGCGAACGCTACGTCAAATCCTGTACCATTTGTCAGAGAAACAAACCGTCTAGAAGCAAGGCCTGGGGTTTGCTACGCCCACTACCTATACCCGATCAACCGTGGCAAATGATTGCGATGAATTTCATAGTCGAGCTTCCTCCGTCCCAGGGCCACACCGCGATCTTTGTGATCGTGGACCGTTTGTCAAACATGGCCCACTTTCTACCTCTGAAGAATACGCCATCGGCTCTTGAGACCGCACAGATCTTCATACGAGAAGTGGCGAGGCTGCACGGAGTCCCGGAAGACATCGTCTCGGATCGAGGAGTCCAGTTTACCTCCAAATTCTGGAAAGCTTTATGTAAAGCATTGGGTATCAAATTGTCCCTCTCCTCCGCTTATCACCCACAGACCAATGGGCAGACGGAAAGGACTAACCAAACACTGGAACAGTATTTGAGATGCTACACGTCCTTCCTGCAGGATGATTGGCTGGCACTCCTACCTTTTGGCGGAATTCGCCTACAATAACGCAAATCATTCAACCACGGGGCAATCTCCATTTTTTGCAAACTATGGGTTCCATCCCACTTTCCTTCCCGATCTAGTTGCTGAGAGTTCAGTTCCGGCCACTCAAAGTACTCTCACTTTTTTCTACCAATAACAAGTTGCTTCAGGAAGCTATTTCAAGGGCTCAGGAAGATAACAAAAGGGCCTTTGATAAGAAGAGAAGGGGAGAACTAGTGTTGCAACCCAAGGATCAAGTCTGGTTGGCAACAACGAACCTGAAGATGTCGTGTCCCTCGAAGAAACTGGGACCAAAGTTTGTGGGCCCATTCCGAGTGAAACGGATGATTAACAAAGTGGCGTATGAGCTCGTTCTCCCAGAGACTTTCAAAATCCACCCAGTGTTTCATGTATCACTTCTGAAGTCAGAAGCTGTGCCAGATCCATTCCCAGATCGGGAGTCCAGACCTCCGCAAGCTATAACCATTGAGGAGCAGGAGGAATTTGAGGTGGAAGCAATCCTAAATTGCCAAAAGAGGGGGGGCCAGACCCAGTTCTTGATTAAATGGAAGGGCTATGGCCCAGAGGAGAACTCCTTGGAACCGGCCCAAAATGTTCATGCCCCCAGACTTATCTGGGAGTTTTATCGCGGCCACCCGCGGTGGAGAGATCAGTTGGGCACCCAAAGGTTGCCCGTGGGGGGGGGGGGCAATGTCAGGGATCGCCGTGGCGTTGGGCCCTTGTGGATCTGATCTCTTGTTGCTGACCTGGCGTGTGACCCGACCATTCTCTGCCCGCTGCTTTGTACCGCACCGACCCCACGGCTACCGACTCGGCTTGTCTGACCTCCTTCCTGCTCATCCATCCAGACTCTCACACCGCAGGAACCTCTGGCGAGCTCCTCTACCACTGGTGGGTATACCCAGGGGCTGCGACCTGGTCTCGGTTCGCTCCAAGTCCATCCCCACCATTAGGGGCCCTGGTGAACAAGGGAACCGGGACTTAGACTCCGCTCTCTGGGGAAGCCTGACCAGTGGATTGCTAGGGGCGCCGTCAGACGGTTCCTTACAGATTAGTATTAGTGTATTTTCTATTTTGATCCAACTTTTCCTTTTTACATTGCATGTCCAATCAAAAATTCTCGCCAATATTACCGAATTATAGTATCTTTTCAAGTCTGGTACTCCCAGTCCTCCTTTCTCTTTATTTCTACTTAATATTTCATGGCTTATTCTCGGTTTTTTATTCCTCCAAATAAATCTTGTTAAAATTTTTTTGATTGTTCTGAAATATATCTCTGGTAGTTTAATTGGTATCATTTTTGAAATTTATATAGAATTTTTGGAACAATTACCATTTTTATCAAATTTATACGACCTATCCATGACAGAGTTCCCCCTCCTAATTTCCTTATGTCATCCTTGATCTCATTTACCACTGGGATATAATTTAATTTATATAAATTCTTAGAGGATACAGTTAAGTTTATTCCTAGATATTTTAATTCTTTATCTCTCCAAACAAAGGGGAATTCCTCCTGTAACCTATTTTTTTCTCTATTTTTTCTCTCCCCATACTCTTTCAATAATCTCAGTAAGTTTGGCAATGTTATCCTTGGGTTTCCCACACAGAACAGAATATTATCTTCATAAGCTGCCACCTTATGCTCTGTGTCTCCTATCCATATTCCTTTTATGTCTGTATTATTCCTTATTGTAGCCAAAAGAGATTCTAATGATAAAACATATGGAAGCGGAGACAAAGGGCATCCCTGTCTTGTTCCGTTTTGCATCCCAAAATACTCTGACAATTCTCCATTAACCATGATTGCTGCAGAAGGTTTTCTATATAATTTCCTTATCCATTCTCTTATTCTGGATCCCATCCCCAATACTTCTAATGTGTCCATCATATATCCCCAATCAACTGTATCAAATGCCTTTTCAGCATCGATCGAGAGTACCAGCGCAGGAGCTTTTTCTTTCCTACTTTTTGTATGAGAAACAAAGATCTCAATCCATTCTCTCTACCTTCTCTCCCTGGGACAAAGCCCACCTGGTCCATATGTATCCATTCTGGCATAAGGTCTTTCAACCTGTTTGCCAGAACTTTTGCATATAGTTTGGTATCTGTATTTAATAAAGAAATTGGTCTATAACTTGAACAGTGAGTGTCATCTTTACCTTCTTTATGTATGAGAACTACATGGGCTTGTTGGGATTCCCTCCTCATTTCCATCTCTCCTCCTAGTGCATGCATGTATATCCCCAATTTAGGTACTAATAGTTCTTTATACTTTTTATAAATACCTCACCGTGTATCCATCTGGTCCTGGGCTTTTCCCAGTTTTAGTAATCTTTAATGCTAAGTACCGTATTTTTCGCTCCATAAGACACACTTTTCCCCCCCCAAAAAAGGGGGGAAAATGTCAGTGCATCTTATGGAGCGAATATAGAGCAGCCGGGCCAGTATTTCCGCCGCCAATACCGGGCCGGCCACTCAGCTCTTCCCTGCAGCAGGACCTTACCTTTTTCTTCCCGCGCCGGCATCTTTAGTGTGGGAACCTGGCTGTGACAGCTGAGTGCTCACTGCGCATGCACGAGAAGCGCTGCGCTTTGTGAATGGCGCGGCGTCTTCTGGGACCTGTCATGTGTCCCAGAAGACGCCGGGCCATTTACAAAGCGCAGCGCTTCTCGCGCATGTGCAGTGAGCACCCGACTGTCACAGCCGGGTTCCCGCACTAAAGGAAAGACACCTCCGCAGAAGTGGGAGCGGGTAACTGTCCAATTCAGGTACCTGCTCCCCCTCCTCCAAAGGTCCACAGTCTCCTTGTCATCCCTTGTACTGTCTGCAGTCTTTGGTCATCTCCTGTACTGTTGGCAGTCTCTGGTCATCCCCTGTACTGTCTGCAGTCTCTGGTCATCTCCTGTACTGCCTGCAGTTTCTGGTCATCTCCTGTACTGTTGGCAGTCTCTGGTCATCCCCTGTACTGCCTGCAGTCTCTGGTCATCTACTGTACTGTCTGCAGTCCCTGGTTATCCCCTGTACTGTGTCCGCAGTCTCTGGTCATCTCCTGTACTGTGTCCGCAGTCTCTGGTCATCTCCTGTACTGTGTCTGCAGTCTCTGGTCATCTCCTGTACTATGTCCGCAGTCCATTGGTTCAGAATATTTTTTTTCTTGTTTTTCTCCTCTAAAATGTAGGTGCGTCTTATGGTCAGGTGCGTCTTATGGAGCGAAAAATACGGTATATTTCTTCCTGCATTATTGCTAATTTGAGGGGTTTTAATTGTTCCTCACTTAGTTTTGGTAATCCCTTCCTTTTTAAAATATGTCAGTCTTTTTTCTCTTTTTCCTACCCCCTCTTTATTTATGGAACTATGGGGAATAATATTATATAAATTATTATAGTATTCTTTAAACATTTTAGCTATATTCTTGGTTGAATACACTAATTCTCCTTTGGGATCTCTTATTTTCTCTATATAGTTCCTAGATTTTTTTTTCCTCTGAGCCCTCAGTAAATACTTTCCTGGCCTATCTCCCCATCTGTATCTCTCACTTATCATTTTATTAAATACTCTTATCTTCGTCCATAAACATTTTAATTCTTCTTTTTTGCATAATCTTTTTTGTTACTCTGTTTTTGTGTCTGCTGTAGCTCACAGAGTTCCCCAAGAAGCCTATTCATTTTTTCTTTTCTTTCCCTCTTCTTCTTTGCTCCAAGCGCTATCAGGATCCTCTAATATAGGCCTTATGAGCCTCCCACACCGTTGCTACAGACACTTCCCCAGTATCATTTTCTTCAAAGAACTGCTCTATTTATTTTTTTATTTTTTGATCCATCTCTTGATCCTGGAGAAGTGTCTCATTTAACCTCCATACTTTTCCCTATTCAACACCTTACCCCATATTAATTGCATTGTGACAGGAGCATGATCCGATATTGACATCACTTCTATTTTTACTTTGACCAAAGACTCAATAAGTCGATGTTCCAACAATATATAAGCCAATCTTGAGTACCTCTCCTGTGCGTGAGAGTAAAACGTATAGTCTCTGTCCTTCATATGCTTAATTCTTTATATATCCACAAGTTGGCATTGGTGTATCATTTTTTTTCAAGGATCTCAAAGACCTACTTTCCTCTCTCTGCACAGGAGACGTTATGTCCATCTGGGGATCCATACACAGGTTAAAATCTCCTGCCACAATTAAACTACCATTTTTGAAATCCATTAATTTTTTCAGAGCATTTTTTAGGAATTCCTCCAGTTTCTTATTCGGGCAATAAATATTTGCTAATGTACAATCTATTTCTTGTAATTTTCCTTTCAGAAACAGAAATTTCGTTCAGGATCTACCAATTTGTCATCCAACTTAAACCTGATATTTTTTACAAAACCTATTGCTACTCCCTTAGCTTTTCTAATTTGAGAATCTGCATAAAACCACATTGAATAATATCTTGTGTTTAATTTCACATTTGTTTCTCGCCCCAAATGTGTCTCCTGTAAGAAAACCACAGAAGACATCCTATGCTGAATCTCTTTAAATATCCTAAATCACTTCCCGGGGCTATTTAATCAATTAACATTATAAGTCACAAAGTGTATCTCTTCCATTCTTCCCTTCTTCTCTTGTCCTCTCCTCCCTCCCTTCTCTCTCCCTCTCTTGACCATTCCTTTCCCTTCGTTCTCTAGGACTTCTGCACACATTAACATCTCCTACTGTTTTGCAGAGTCTTGGACTACCTACCCCCTCCCTATACCCAACCCCCCTCCTTATCCCTCCCCCAATACCCACCCTCTTTTAGGCTTGTGCTTTGCCTACAAATCATTTGTGGACCTAATCCCACCTTTGATTCAGCTTTAAGGTGGAGTTTTGTCCATGTACGTCCACCAGATTGCTTACCCTATCTCCCTTGTCCCGCCTTTCTCTAATCATCAAGGAAGAGGGGAGGATGAATGAAACGAAGGGAAGTAGGAAAAAATAAATAAATAATTAACACACACCACCCCCCCAACATCCCTTCTTCTCCTCCCCACCCCACACATCATCATTTTCTACAATTTCTTCCCCCTAGAAACTGCCTGCCACCTCTCCTTTTCTATACCCCCCTCCCTCTCCTCTTCCCCCCACCCAGGAATATCTATTTTCTGCAACTCCAGTCTTTCGCAAAAATCTCCCAAATCCTCTGGGAATCTCAGTCTTGCTGAGCGGCCATTTTTCTAACCGATTAAACATACTGAAAATCCCCAGCAGTATCGAACGTTCTGTTTTCTCATTTGTTCTAGTAATGGTTTCAGTGATCTCCTTCTTGTTAAGGTATCCACTGCTAGGTCAGCAAAGATCTGCAAGTTTATTTCACCATATTTTATTGCTGCCCTTCCTTTTATCTTCTTTCAAAGCTCCTCTTTATCTCAAAAATAATGGAATTGTACAATCACATCTCTGGAGTTTTTTCTTTTCTCCCTTCTTGCTGTAATCTTCCAATTCTATATACTTTATAAATTTTGATAGGCTCTGTTGCAGATCTATCCATTACTATAACAAGCATTTTCCCAATTATTTCCATCAAATTTTCTCCTTGGGAAATCTCTGGGAAACCTCGTATCCTTAAGTTGCATCTTTTATCCCTGTTCTCCTGATCTTACAATTATATAGCAGATTCCTCTGTTCTTTTCTCATTCATCAACCGTCTCTCTAAATTTAATATGGCTTGGGCATTTTTATCCAGTTTTTCCTCCGCTTCTTCCACCCTCGATAATACCTGTCCCAGATCTTTATGCAGTTTCGCCATCTCCTGTTATATTGATCTTTCTAATCCTTTAAACATTTCTGCTATTTCTGTTTTAGTGGGCAATTGTAAGTTCTTCTTTTGTTCTTCTATGTTCTCTGAATCCGCTATTTTTCCTAAATCTCCTTCCTCACTGTCTTGACTAATATTTGTTATTTCCAGGGATAGTCTAGAGCAGTGATGGCGAACCTATGGCACGCGTGCCAGAGCTGGCACGCAGAGCCATCTCGGTGGGCACGCCAGAAGGAAGAGAGGAAAAGGAAGAGAACGCGCTCTCCTGCGCACCTCCGGGGGCGCGCACCGGGCGATCTCCGTGATCGCTGTGTCCTGCAGACACAGCTGATCACGTGACATGGTAAAAGGCCAATCACAGCGGCCTTTTACCACGTGATCAGCCGTGTCCAATGACACGCTGATCACCGGGAAATGCAAATGCCAGTTCTCGGCTGCACTTTCCTCACGCTGTCAGATCGTGAGGAAAGTACTGCCGAAAACCGGCAGTTGTCAGAACAGGGATCGGCACCGATCATCAGGGTCACTGATCATCAGTGCCCTGATGATCGGTGCCCACCTGTGCCACACACAAGTTCCGCCCACTTGTGCCCAGCAATGCGCCCACCTGTGCCCAGCAATGCGCCCACCTATGCCCAGCAGTGCGCCCACCTGTGCCCAGCAATGCACCCACCTGTGCCCAACAGTGCGCCCACCTGTGCCCAGAAATGCACCCACCAGTGCCCACCTGTGCCGCCCACCTGTGCCCACCAGTGCCACCCACCAGTGCCCATCAGTGCAGCCCAGCAGTGCTGCCAGTCAGTGCCACCAGTCAGTGCCCAGCGGTTGTGCCAGTCAGTGCCCAGCAGTGATGTCAGTCAGTGCCACCTATCAGTGCTGTCTATCAGTACCCATTATCAGTGTCGCCTATCAGTGCCACCTGTCTGTGACACCTCATTAGTGCTGCCCATCAGTGCCACCCATCAATGATGCCCAGCAGTGCCGCCGGTCAGTGCCGTCTGTCAGTGCCTCCAGTTGGTGGCTGTCAGTGCCGCTTATCAGTGCCCATCATTTCCTGCATATCAGTGCATCATCAGAGCCTCCTCATCAATGCTCACCAGTGCCGCCTCATCAGTGCTACCTATCTGTGCTGCCTCATCAATGCCCATCAGTGCTGCCTATCAGTGCAGCCTCACCAACGCACATCAAAGAAGAAATATTACCTGTTTGCAAAATTTTAGAATAGAAGCAAAGGAAACCTTTTATGTTTTTAATTTTTTGCTCTTTTTTCATTTATAGTGCAAAAAATAAAACACCCAGTGGTGATTAAATACCACCAAAAAAAGCTCTATTTGTGTGAAAAAATGATAAAAATTGCATATGGTTACAGTGTTGCATGACCGCACAATTGTCTATGTTAAGTGCAACAGCACTGAAAGCTGAAAATTGTCCTGGGCAGGAAGGGGGTAGAAGTGCCCGGTAGGCAAGTGATTAATTCCAGTGTTGGCACTTTGAAATAAAAAAGTTGGTTTTGTGTTGCAGTTTGGGCACTCGGGCTCAAAAAGGTTCGCCATCACTGGTCTAGAGCATTCTCCAGTTCTATTTTCCATCTCAGTTCTTCCGCTTATTCCTTGTTGTCTCTCGGGGGTCTGTTTCTCTTGTTGTGGTATATATTTTTTAATTGTGCTTGTCTGGGGGGCCTGTGGCCCACCTCCTTTTATCGCTTTATTTTTCATACTGTTGTAATTTTTCTATGTTCTCTTTTCTCTCTTTCTCTCCTTCTCTCCCCCTCCTTGGGACCTCTGTCAGCCTCCAGAGCCCTTTGGGGATCCTCTCTGTTTTAATTTATCCTCTTTCCACTTCTTCTTTTGACAATACCCTCTGGCTGCAGTCCCGTGGGTGCCGTCCCCCCTCAATTTTACTACACAGTTCACTCAATAAATTTATTTCAGTACATTTCATCACATCTGTCTCTCACTCACTCTCCCTCTTGACCTCTTCTTCCTCCACACTGAATGATGCATGCCTTCACTGTTCTCTCCTGGGTGAGTGGGATAACAGCTTCAGTGTCCAACGATGTGAGTCTTCAGGGGGGGGGCTCCCTCAGTGTGCCCACAGAGGTTCCGACAGCTACAGCTATGTTGTGATAGTAACGGGGGGAGGGGAACAGAGAGGGAAGAGAGATCCGCTGCTTCCCCTACTGCTCTGTGCCGGTCCGCTTCTCACTCCTCCCAGGACTCCTTTGCGGCGTGTCACATGACCACTCAGGGTACGTGCTGCTGCTTCACGCTGTCAGGGATCTCCGCTCTCCTCCTCCCTTCAGCCACGCTTTCCACCACCACTCAGCCCGTCTTAGCAGGGACCTCAAGCCTCGCTCTCTACCCCATGGGATCATACCCAAACTTAGGTAGGTCCCAGCGGCAGCTCCCTCGAGTTTCCTCGTCTAGCCTAGCGGGACATCGGAGACGCCTGGTGCTGAGAGATCTCACATTGATCTCCCGCTTGGCGCCATGTCCAGGCTCCTCCCTCCGGTGAAGTTATCCTTGTTAATTTGAAAGAGGATTTTATGATTCTGCCACTTTGTCCTAAGCTGGTTAATTACACAAAAATATCTCTTTACTGCTTGGACATGATCCTTGGTATCCACAACTGTTTTTAAGTCACAGCTAATTTTTGCCAGAATTATCCCTTTTAGGTTTGGCTACCAAGAGGGGTTTCAACTAGGCTGAGTTTGGTTTGTGACAAATGATTCAAGGGCAAATAGGAGAGCAACAAGTGGTTGAAAAGATCTGTGGGGAAGCTAGATGTGAGACGAGCTAAATACTTCAAAAGTAGCACAATTCAAACAATGTAAATTCCTGCAGCACTCACACACAAATCCTAGTGCAAAAATAAACATAAAAGAAATAAATGACATGTATAAAAATAAAGCAAGACATTTACTCTACAGCTGCATGTTGCTTCTGAGCTGTGTTGCTTCAATGTTGCATGTGTGTGCTTAATGACAGGTTCAATAAGCTAAGCGCAAGTAAGAGAAGCGCACTAATCAACTTAACAGAAAAAGGCTTGGCCCTGGCCGCTGACAACCAGCTTGCATTGGTAATAAAAACTCTGATGGCAGTGCACACTCCACTGAATTTGCATCCCCATGTGGGTAAACATGGCCTTGCATGGGCGTACTCCATAGTATGAAATGCAGAAAATAGTGCTAATGGAAAAAGGCAGCTTGCCACCAAAAATCTATAATAAAGTTTGTGATGAAATCTGTGAAACCACCACCATGTTCAGACGATGAAGCAACTCTTCCAAAATGTGTCACACTCCACTCTCAAGCAAATTGTAAACTCACCAGAAACCTTGGCTGCATATAACACAGATCAGTCAGCACAATCCCAGCTCCATAGTCTCAGCTCGCCTTTGCCTTCTTTGCCAGCACAAACCCAGGACACAAGATGATATCCAAGATGATTACAGATGAAGCAGCCAGCCAAACCAGCACTGTGACAAACAAAACTCACCACACTTTCAAGTATAATAAAGCTGTGAATTGTGCAAATGTAAAACAACATAATATAAATTATGTGCCGATCAACTCACAAAGCCGCTGCTCGATATTAAAGTACAGCAGCATGACATCAGCGCAGCAGGCTCTGTCCCTACGCGTTTGGTCCAAAGGGAAGTCTTTAAGAGGTCTTCTAGCACCAGTAAGCCACCATTTTTTTGTAGCCCACGTACAGAGGTCCTGCATCCTCCTACAGGAGAATGAAGACTCCTCCTACAAGCTGTAACCAGTGCTTTGCTGGACACTGATAGAAGTCACAAGTCTGCTCTAACTGCTGATGAGAAAACATATTTAGCAGTTTATATTTAATAAAGTAATTTCATTTCCATGTTACGTTTACTGTGGTAACCAGATATAGTAAATGCAGGATCCTGCATTTAGTAACACTTTAATATCAAAGTTAAAGTGCAATTCCAGTTGATAGCTAACTAAGGCTAAACCTACTTGCACCCCTTTTGAAAAGCTATTCTATCTAACCCTGTAAAGAAAAGATCACTATACTCCCCTATTCTGAAGCCGATTTGGTCTGGTCTCCAGCAATGGCTTCTGTGTGCAGGAGAGAACTGATAATCCTACACACAGAATCCGCCTCTGACAGCTCAGCCTGAGACCAGCCGAAGCGGTTTCAGAATAGGTAAGTATAGCTATCATTTCTCTACAGATTTAGATAGAATAGCTTTAGAATGGGGGGGGGGGGTGAGTAGGTTTAGCCTTAGCTATTGACTGGAATTCCACTTTAAAGCTACACTATAAAAATACACCAATAATAGATCCAATTAAGATAGAAAGTTTTTAAATCAAATTAGATAAGACATCATAACATGATAGCAGTCTAATGAAAAACTTAATATGTAGATGTTCACAATAGTAAAAATGTATTTTAAAACAATATTATGAAAAGTAGAACATGGTGTCAAGGTATTCAATCTAGGAGTGACTGGGTAAAAAAACTATTTGTATAAAATCATGACAGAAAATAAAAACAAATGAAAATATAATATTAAAATTATCACACAGAATTACAAATGCAGTATGTGCAGAGACCAAAAATATAGTAAGGACTATAGACCTCTATCAACTGTTGTCTTTAAAACAATTTAAGCCCCAGTCTATGTTTAAACCATGGGGTATAACTGTTCTAAGATCATGGATCCAGCACATCTCTAATTTACAAAATTTCATGGGACCTATTGCACCCTCTCCAATAAGGGTGTAAAATATCAATCCCCAGAAATACAATACAATACCTTTTTAGGTAGGTATCTGCGATGGTACTCTAAGATGTGCAGAAAGACTATGTCCCTTAAAACCTCTTTTGATGTTTTATATGTGTTCTCTCAACCTATCATGTAATCACCTCGTAGTTCTCCCCTATATATTGTTTACCACAAGTGCATTGTTATAGATATACATCTACATTTATACACTGCATGAGATAAAGGAGTCAATTTCTTAAACCTTGTCTATGGCTTCAGAATGGAATTGTTTAATTTTACTACACCTAGTACCATTCTAGTTTTTTACTATAATATTTTAAATATTTTGGGGGGTGTTGGTGAATCAGGGATCCCTGATGTTACATAGCTAGTGAGACTGGAAATAAACACTAGTCCATCTAGTTTAACCAACAAAAAAAGGATATTGAAAACCCCTATATCCAGAGGAAGGCAAAAAACCCCAATAAAGCATGATCCAGTTTGCTCCAGTGGGGGAAACAATCCTCCTCGTTTCAATTTAAAATGTCCCTGGATCAACTACCCCTGGTGTTATTACCTCTAAATAATAATATCCATTTATATTATGTGCATTTAGGAATGCATCCAGACCTTTTTTTTTAGAACAGTCTACTGAGCTGGCCAGAACTAGCTCTTGAGGGAGTCTATTCCACATTTTAATTTTTTACTGTGAAGAAGCCTTTCCATATGTGGAGGTTAAATCTCTTTTCCTCCATACATAAAGAGTGCCCCTTTTGTCCTCCTGTAATGACCTGAAATGACAGCGAGTTCACTATATGGATCACTTATGTATTTATAGATGTTGATCATATCCTCCCTTAATCTCCTCTTCTCAATAGAAAATTAATCCAGTTGAGCCAATCTTTCCTCCATGATTCTTATCAGTTTGGTTGTCCTTCTCTGCACTTTCTCCAGTTCTCCAATATCCTTTTTGTGAACTAGTGCACAAACTGAACTGCATAATCCAGATGAAGTCTTACTATTGATATATACAGG